GTGGAACGGAAGACTGCGCGTATGTTTTTTGATACCGTCTAAATTGAGATGTGTAGATGAAAGTTGAGTTTCCCTTCGCCTTTAGAGCTTGTTGTGTTTGCAAGAAAACACACGACAAAACAGGTGACCTTGTGTGAATGTAAGTTATAAAGACTGCAACCACTGTTATTCTCTTGTAAGGTTCAAGTTTATGTAAACCTGCCCTGGTTGCTTAAAGCTGTTGTCTCTTGTTTTTGTTATCCTTGGGTCTGTCAGATAGTTTCAAATTCGGCCCTCGTTGTGTAAGTAAGGTAGGCTAAGTTTAGGAAGTTAACAATAGAGCAGGCCTACCGTAATGCTTTTGTAGTGAAGTTTGGTATAAGTTCACAAAAGCAATTGACAACCTTATCTTTACGTTATTATCTATAATTAGTCCTATAATTATATTTTGTTATAGTGTTAGTAAACGATATCTTAAGATAGAACTGCTTACTACTGGAGGAACTGAAGCTCATAGTATAGTAAAAAAAAATATTATGCATTCTCCAAATTAACTAACTATTAACCTAGTGGAACCGCCTACTGTAGTTTACATCACTGTAGGGCCCATTCCTCAGTTTGGTAACCACTGTAAGGATAATGGGTTCTTATCTGTACAGACAATAACCTGAAGAAGACCAGTTTCATTAGTGTCATTTGACCTACCTGTTATGTAACCTGACTGCTGACATAAATGAGGTCTGTTATTCTGCCGTAGAAAAATTTACTGCTGTGACGGTCTATTATCTGTCCATTTTTAGTAGCCAGCATGTGGTACTGCTATTTAGAGCTTCATAGTGTCTGTGCTTCATTCTGCTCCGCTGTGTTTTAGTTGCTGACCATCATCACTCTGAAGGTGCTGACCCTCCTCTGTGCATCCCCTCAGCCGTCCGCCTTCACCTGGCTTTTTCTCATGTTTAACTAAGGCAGAGGTCAGTAACATGAAACTCTTTTTTGCATGCATTCATGGTGAAATTGCAATCTATAGTTGTAGGAAGTTGAGACTGGTAAATAAACATTACTGTAAGTATTTTTCATCTTTTTTTTGAGATTGTTGCTTCATCAGTCTGTTAAAGCGATGGCTTTCTGTCATTCAGACATTCAGTAGGTCACTTTTATGTTCGTGTTCCTCACGGGTTCGTTCACACCCATGTCTGTGACAGGCAGCACCATGGTACATTCTCATGCACATTTGCCATATGCATGAGATTGTCCTAATATTGTTAATTGGTTAATGCAGCTTATACATAAATCTTACTGGGCCCGACCCTGTAAGATGGCTGTTGTGACCCTTATGGAAAAATGACCAGGGTCCTCGTTCAGACGTGAAGCCAATGTGATCAGATGTCTTCAGATTAATGGGAAGAAGTGCATGTCTGAAAGGGGCTAAAGAAATGTAAATGAAAACATAACTGATGGACAGGGTGATGTGTTTATGAACACATTAAATTGGCATTCACATTCTCAACCTGGGCGCATGCGGCGTGACAGGCCTGCTCACCAGGTGTATTGTTGGTGTGCAAACATAGGACTGGTGGCAAATACAACTGCAAGCTTTGAACCTGTGTAACCTCTGCACTGTGTTGACATCTGCGTGTTTGTATGCCTGCCCATCTGTCTTTTTGAAACCCGGCGCGAGGAGTCGGGGAAATAATTACCTGCATAATCTATTATAGAAAATTAGATGATGCTGATTAGTACAATGGGCTACAGGGAGACTGGAAGGTTTGGTGGGGAGGAACACCACCACTGAATTGTGTGTTCTCTGTTGTGTGACTATGTTTGAAGGAGAAAGCTGAAGGAGACATTTTGAATAAATGCAGGAAAGCAGAGGAACAAGAGACAAAGAGATTGTATGTGCAGAAAGCTTTCACTGTGTCCAACATAGAAAGGATGGAAAGCATGTCCTCACAAGATTTCACGGCAGTCTGCCCATTGGACTCTTTTCGAGCTGGTGATTGTCAGCTCTGGCTTTGTTTCTTGGGTAGCATGCGGTTTTTTGGGAAGTTATCAGTTTCACTCACTGTCTGGAAGGATATCCTTCCTAGTTCTGAAGACAGCAGATCAAGGGACTCAGAAACATGTTGGTGTGAAGTTCAGGGTCTGCCTCTTGGCATGCTGTGTTGGGGTAGGCTCAATTCCTATTTAGTAGGGATGTAACCATGTTTGTAATTTTGAGATATATCACAATAGAAAAACAGCAGCTACTCTGGCCACAAGGGGTAATTACAAACGGTATTAATTTTCATTTTCTTAGGATTCCTCTGAGTCACTTGCTTTATAGAAATCATCATAGTGTGACATGAATAATAGTGAGTGGAAGGACGTCACAGGCAGTAAACGTCAAATGTAGCACACAAAATGTCTTGTTTTAGTTTGGTGATAAAACCAGTGAAATGTTCACGTGTTAAAATGTAGTGTAACAGCTGCGCAAGTAGACTCGAGTCATGAGAAACTGGCTCAGTAATTGAAAGGCAAAAATGAAAAATGTACTAGCCATTTTGGAACTCAGTTTAAAAAAATCCACACATTTACTCATTACTTGAAGTCAGAATGATAAAGTCAAACTATGAACTGAGAAATATATGATCACTTTGTTACCTGTTTTCATTTATAATCCATATTTAAAATTGATGACCTTAAACTTACTGGTCCTCCACAAATGATTGTATAGTTTTATGGAAGTGGGCTCTCTTAGCTAGCTGGGTAATAGGTTCAACCTACTTAGAGTCAGCGATCTCATGCTGTTAACATAAGGCCTCAATTCTATTTCCATCTAAATGTCCAACACCTGCCTGTCTTATGTGCGTACCACATAAACCAAAAATGCCCAGACACATTTTTACATACATAGTTTCTTAATCAATACACCACAGTGGTTACTTACCATCAGATCAGATATTAGGTGAAAATGCTAAAATTTCAACAGAGGCAAGGGGCAAATTCAAACAAACTTTGCTGAGTTTTAATGGAGGTTAACATAAGGTGGCATTAGGCTTTCCCAAAGGATCTATAGTGTTTGGTAATAGACTACACTGGATAATAAGATGTCCATATGTGACCTTAATTGAAGTTTGGGGCTGCTTGTTATCAAATGCAGTTTCTGTCTTACTGGAAACCCTCCATGGATGCCAAGGCTAACTGTCTGATTCTGCAGTTTCGGATTAATGGCTGCGTGATCAAGTTCAAAGGCAGAGCTGCCCTGGATAAACTCATTATAAACGGCACGAAAAGTCGCCTGGGCCAGACTGGTGCACTGTATATGGAAAGGCTTTAAATACCAGGTCTTACTTGGTCCATTCTGGGCAGTCCTCTAAATAACATGCAGGGGAGCCAGCAGTCAAAAGTAGGCAGGCAGACATTTTTATCTCACTGTAATGGGGACGTTTGTGCCCTGCTGCAGTGGTAATCCTCCAGACACTCGACATATTGATTTCAGTGACATCTTAGGCAGTAAGCGGACGTTGCTGTGGTGTTTCTGCAGTGCAGTTTTGCCAGACATTTCACAATAGGTGGCCTCTACTATAAGGTTTGTTTATTGGAGTTCCTCTTGATTAAGCTTATGTAGGTGGCACACTTTCTTGGTGGCTTTGGTAGCTACCCAGCTTTTCTGTTTTTTCCAAATAAACCTGTGTTGCTGTTAAGAGAAAAGTAAAATGAGTTGTCCACCCCCACCACCTAATCACTAAAGCTTTCACTGACAGAATGTTATCATCTTGCAATAAAGAGCAGAAAAAAAACTTGAATACGCCAATGAATACATTTACAGCTACTTTTATATATCATGAATTATCTCTTGGACTGTGATGTGTATGTTGAAGTGTGAGGTGCCAACTGTTCAGAGAGACTGTTTCATAATTCAGGGTTTGATTCTCATCAGCTGCCACATGTCAGTGTTCCTGAGCCAGGCACTTAATGCTTAGCTAAGCTCAGTTACGGTACATCTACGTAGGAGTGTTAGTTAGAAAGCCCTGTACTTTCCTGTGTGTGCACTGGCTTGTTTTCCTGGCACACGTGATTTGTATCCAGATAGAGTATTGATCTACTGTAGCCACATTGCACATACTTTTATAGCTATAAATGCAAATAATGTCTTACTATAACTCTTTAGTCATAAAAAATAAAGCAGCCCATTACTGGACTGTGTGAGTCAAATTCAGGTCAAAATCTGAGTAAACATTACCTGATTAGCAGATTATCTAGTTTGATTCGGAGTTTTCATTAGAATACATTGACCAGTTAGGTCACACAGTGTGATGATTTCTGTATAAAAACAGCTGCGTTGTACCAAAGTAATTCCTATGATGTAGAAACCAAACAAATTAAGTGCCTTTATTTTTGGTCTCTTATTATGTGTTCTGTAGTTCTCTGGCCATTGGCCTAATGAACCTGGATCGATAGTGAGTGCTTCTGTGTAGCTCTTCAGATGTGAATACTGTGTTTGAGGGGAGCTGGGGGGGACAGTATGAGGTCTGACATGGCACTGCTTTGTTACATGTTATAAACATCTGGATGCCGTGCCTCTCAGACCACTTCCTGAGGATGTTTCAGTATCCTTCACTGCAGCCTGAGTGTGTCTGAACTTGGGTTTAGTATATGTGATTAAGCATGATTAGATACAGTGGCTATACAGTCATCCAAGATGCTTTTTAATGGCTAATAAACTTATCACTCTAAATAACTGCTATGTGTGTATGTGCCGCTGTGTGTGTGTTTGTGCAAGTGTGTCCACATAGCTTTTATGAATTTGAGTGTCAGAGTGTTTGTGTATGTGTGTGAATCTTGATTCATATCAGTGTGAGCCTAAGTCTTTGTGCATGACTGATTGCTTTGTCTGTCTGACCACAACTGGAAAGGGATCCATCTCTCTCTTTGCTTCTCTCTCTCTTTCTCTCTCTCTGACTGGGTGTTTCTCTCTACTCAGTTCCACCTTAAGAGGAGCTTTAGCAGCCTGTCCTGTTTGTGTTGAAGCCAACAGGCACAATATATTACAGTCTAGGGCTTGCTGCTGAAAAGCCCGCTGGATCCTCCACTGACCTGCTGTTCTTTCCTGCTTTCCTCTTGCATTTTTTTCCACATTTAGATTAAAAACAAAGCTCTCACTCTTTCTCGCTGTCCCTCCTTTCTGCCCTCCCTCCTTCTTCTTCTACTCCCGTTCCTTCTTTTCCTTCTTCTTCTTTTCTGCGGCAGCAGTCAAGGCAGAGGCTTCAGTGTGTCAGAGACAGGGTGAAGAGGAGGAAAAAGCAGAGACTATTTGGATGGAGCTGAGTGTTTGTTTATGTTTGTATGTTTCGCCATTGGAAGGCCAGGTGAAGGGGCACGAGGAGAAGAAGGGAGCCTGTCTGGATGAAATTCTCTGTGTCATGTCACTGAGTGGACCTTGACTGATCACAGGGTGAGGAAAAGAGAGAGACACTGAGACGAAGACGAGGAGAGACTGAGACTCTAGTTTCACTGGGAAAAGAAGGAGATAAAGTGTGGTGCTCTGTTTTATCATGACATTGTTGGATAAACGAAGTGACAGATTGAGCGCTCGTCAGTCGTGTGCCAACAGGAATTCATCTTAGAAGACAGAGAAAGGTAGAACCAGGAAGGAAAGGAGGAGAGAGACCGTGGAAGTGTGAAGACTTCTGTGTTCAGCCCAACTGAAGAGCAAAGAACGGACTTGCTGAGTGTGCGTGTGCGTGTGGGTTTGTGTGTGTGGCTGTGTAACCGGTGGAGGGCAGAGGAGTGGAGGGCCAGGGGACTAACCTGGCCATCAAACGGACTGGCAGCCTCTCCTCTCCTGGGATCATGTACCCTCAGGGCAGGCATCCGGTAAGTACATCCTCATGCCTCTTTCTCCTGTCTGACTCTTTTTCTGTCTCTCCATTTCTCCCATGTCCAGTCTTGCTTTTTATGTCTCCTCCTGCTGTCCTCTGTTTGCTGCTCTCTGTCTCTCCTGTTGTGTCTTTCCTCTTTTTACTTCCTCTTTATTTCTCTTTATATTTCTCTGCTTCTTGGTTTATGCTTTCTATTGTTTTGTCTTTTTGTCATTTGATTGTCTTTTTCAGCCTCTCTCTCATCCCTCTGCCTTTTAGTTATGGGGACTGTACTGTAACATGAGGAGGGAGACATGGGGTGGGGTGGGGTGTTGGATCTAAGAGATTCCCTCTTGAAAACTTTATCATAAGTGCTACTTGCCCAACACTAACCCTGATCTTAAACCAAGTTGTCACTCTGAAATACAGTGATTTACATGGTGGGGACAAGCATCTGGGAGGCTGAGTCCACACAGTCTGCGTGTGTAAACAGGTTTGGGACCCCACACAATGACTAGAACCGGGCGCACACAGACAGACACACACCACCTCCCTCTCTGTCACCTACACCCAGGTGCCTTTGAGATCTTATTCATGGTTAGCTGTGTAGGTGGCATATAAATGAATCTGCACTTCTCAGCTTGTGTGTGTACATTTTCCTGTGTCTATGTGTGTGAGTAGTAGTGCATGAGACCATTCGTGCGCATGGGAGCATCTTTGTGGGAAAAGAGCTGTTTGTGGTAACGTGTAAAATAGTCTGTCTGACTGTCAGCTGTCCATTCGCTCGTTCCCATTGCTCGTGCACACACAGCCACACACAGACTGTAACTGCTAGTTAAATTCCACTTAATTCATTTCCATTACCACTAAGAAAGGTTGAGAGTGCACGAGTACTTTCCCGTTAACACCTCAAACTTCCTCAGCAGTTAGAATTTGCCATTAAATTTTCATGCCAAGGTAAAATAAAGGTTAAATACATAGAATAATACGCACAGAAAGATGAATGACAGTTTAGGCTCAGTCTCTCTTAGGCCCTTCATTTCACAGGGGCTCGGTTATGGTTGCTATAATCAGATTTGGTTGTCAGTCTCTTTATATCTGCTACAAATGGGTCAGTGGCCACTTTGCCTTGGAGTCAGCCAGCCAGCCAACTAGCCAGCAAGCAAGCCAGCTAGCTATCACACAGAATTATAAATGACATTTTCACAAGAGGAAGGCATGAGGAATCAATTATAAATACAGAGAGAATGCTAATAACCCTGCCACTGGAAGAGAGGGCAGAGAGAGACGATGAAAGACACAAAAAAGTGAAACACAAAAGTAGAAAATGAAAGATGCAAGAGCCAAGAAAGAAAACAGAGAGAGAGAATTCTTTAAAAAGGCACAGCCAGGGGTGGAAAGAGAAATGAAAATGAATGAGAGATGCGAGGCGTATCAGATAGCTTCCTGCTGTGATGTTCTGCGTTGTGATAAAGTTCAATCCCAGATTGAGCCAACTCCAACCGATCGATAGCCTCTATCTCTCTCCTCCTGTCTCTCTCTGGTGTTTCTCCCTCTCTGTCTTTTCTCTCTCTCTCCTCCTTCCTCTGCAGCCCTCCTCTGCCAGTGGAACTTTATTTCTGGTGTTACTGTGAAATGTGATCTGTGGAGAGGTGTGAGGGTGCAAAGAGCAGTTGTGTGTATGTATATGCATGTGTGTGTGTTGACTGCATTTTCATGCTTTGTGTGTTTATGGTTAAAGGGTCTGTGTCTATGCACGTTGTGTGCATGTTATTGCATACAATCATATGAATGTGCAAGGGTATGTTTGTTCCCATAAATTCAAATCAGGGTTAGTTGTAAAATATGCAGTTCAGTCTGTTTCTCCAAGCACAGCAGGTATATAAAATTCTTCTTCTTTACGTGCCTTAATTACCCACAGTTGCAGGCGAATATTCATTGTATTAATATTTGTCACTTACATTTTTTATGTTGGTTCTGTTAGTGGGTTTGTATGAAACCCATACTTTTTAAATGTGCATGTTTCAGCCAGTTTTCCAAAGCCAAAGGTTGTCATCCATCTGCTAACTTTTAAGTCACCGATTTCAGATCAGTGTTGATTCAAGGCTCCACTTGCTTTACCGCCAAGTCAGACCAGGACTTTGATCAGAAAGCAATGGATTATTAATTTGTAGCAAGTTTTAAGTTTCTCCAAGGTTATTTTCATATCACTGTGACATGATCTGAAACTAGAGGCTGCTTTGAAGGTAGGAAATTGAACTTCAAAGTACATTGTTTGTGCGGGCAGCAGTTTGGCAAAATATATCCAATTTTTAGTTGGTCTCCGGTAGATTGTGTGGTCATACTACATGACTACACATCACTGTACTTAAGTGACGTCCCAGTAAACAGTCTGCGCTCTGTTCGCCCCATACGTTTCATGTATTCTTGACACCAGGTCAGTCATGCATTATGGCCTGCTTCCTGTAAGCCACAGGCATCCAGAGCAGACACAGCTGCCTAGAATGTTGCTCCCTCAAACCCCTGTGTCCATTTGAGGGCAAAAATGACATTTCCTTTAGTATGAACAGATAAAATGTACAAACAAAACGAGCACCATTGTATTTATTTATTTACCTGGAAAGATGTTAGACTTTGTTCTCCCCGCTGCCTGGTAGGAAAGGGTTAAAACCGAGGCCTGATTTGCCAGGCGTGTGGAGCTGTAATTGGTTCCACTGGATTTTTGTGGCAAGCATTATCAGAACTGTGTGAATATGTGTGTGTGTGTGAGGATTTGTATGAGGTGTGCTAATGTGTGTTTTTTTTGTATTTGTCATCTGTGTGATTTCTTTTATGTGTCCTTGACACATTGGCGTGCTTTATTTGTGTGTATACATTTTTGTATTAGCTGTGTTTGTGTATAAATGTAATGTGCATATTGAGTTTGAGGTGTTTGTGCAGTTTTGTTTTATGTATGCATTTGCTGCTAAGTGTTGTGTTGCTGTCTGTAAGTATATGTACAGTATGTCTTGGTGTGTGTGTGTGTGTGCACCATGTGCATGTCTGTATTTGTCCTTGTGTTCCTGCAAAAGTGCTTGTCCATGTGTGCATGCAGCTGTTAAAATGCGAGTTTGGAGCTGGGAGAGGAAGACGAAAGGAGAGCAGTGGCGGTTTGTGTGCATGTGTGTGCATTATGTGCCAACAACAATAACAACAAATAATGTCACAGTCTAACCTCAACTGTTGCTGTGAATGTACAAGCCTCTTGATTGTGAATAACACCCCAGTGAGAGAGACAGAGAGAGACAGTGACAGAGTTAGAGAGGACACAAACTGCTGTGTGTTTTAAGGAAGAAACACCTACATATTTTACATCATTTCAGATATATATCCATGTAAGCGCAAACACTCTCACAAACAATCCTGCCTTGTCTTTCACTTACAGGTCTTTATTTTACTCTCTGGTATTCACTTGAAGCTGAAGAATATAGAAAGTTTTGTTTGTGTGTAAATGTAAAAATGTCAATGTGTGTAAATCTTTCCCCAGTGCAAGTTTTTGACAGCAGTTGTTTTGGCTGTAGTCTAGAGGATGAAGTTCAGACAGAGTTTATTCAACAAGCGTGCAATAAGGAAATGAAGAGTGAGTGTGAAAGAGAGGAGAAGTTGGACTTTAGTCCAGATTCGGCTTCTGTTGTTTTGTGTTACCATCATTCAGTCCCTTTCTGCTTTTGAAATGTATGTCATGGTAATAAAACATGCCAGAAAACTGTTGAATTATTATCAGGAGGAGTGAAGTGCTGAAGAAGTGAGGGTGTCAGTGTGTGGGGCACAATTTAATAAACTGATGAAATATTGTTGCAGCAAAAATGTTCAATCATCTGTGTACAGTATGTGCTTCGTTCTCTTTTGACCATGAGTAGGGTAACGCTTTATTTTTATGACCAAGTAAACTGATGTCAAGTATGTAGCCACAGAATTCACATGTGCTCCGTTAGTGAGGGCAGAGTCCTTTTGAGTATTTTTAAGTTGGATTTTGATGTTACAATAATGTGTATGAAATGGAATTTGTGCTTAATTTTGCAGTGAAAGGACAAATTTAACCACATAAATTGTGTGTGCATGCGTCCTGATAAGGTTTTTTTTTTTTGTACATGCACCTGTGTGCTATTTGCTTTTGCACAGAATGGACCAGTCCTTTTTTTTTTGGACATCCAACTGTGTTTGGCAGTTTGTTTTTCCTCAACGTTTGTGGCTGTAATGAAAGCCATATACGGCAAACAGCCCAGCGGATTGCTGTCACCTCCCACAGGTGACATTCTCCCCTCCTTCCCTTTGTTCTCATCGTGTTTACATTTAATTTCATTCTGTATTTCAAAAGCAAGCTTGTAAAATGGCAAAGAGTCAACTAACAACAATACAGCTGCAGTGAGGTGACCCGTGGTACAAGCAAGAAGTCATACAAGCAGCCAGCAACGTCTTCTCAAATATCAGCAGCCTCCCAGATTAAGTCTGTTCTCTGATTAAAAAAGTCAAATTTTCTATTCCCAAATCCAGTGTTTTTTTTTGTTTGTCATTTAAAGAAATGATCAGTGCGAGGTTTGGATGGACTTCAGAAAGTCGGTTGGCTGCCAAGCTTACCCTGATTTGTAATCCACTGCAGATTTAGTGGGTGAGTGGTGGGCTGAGGTATTAACTGACTGACTGACTGACTGACTGACTTGTGGTTTACTGGCTAGTTGGGTGACTGTCTGAATGCTGGCTTGTTAATTTACTGTCAGACTGGATGACTGACTAGCTGAATAAACGAGTGCCAAAGACATTCACAGGCTCTCAGCACAATGAGAGGGCCACTAACACAAAATTAACTTCTGTTGTTAGGAGGCTGACAGGGCGGCTCACTCTAAGTTATTAAAGCCTTTGAATAGGTTGCCAAAACAGACAGACAGAAAAAGGAACATGTGAGGGCTCCATAATAAGATGATGGATATGTACATTACGTTGCACTCCCATGCTCCCCTGCAGCCTTTCTTTAGTCTTTCATCCACACACAATCCAAACCAATGAGGTGTTTCTAATCTTCCCTGCTGCTCATGTCAGCAGACACAGACATGTACACAAGGGGCGCTGACACACCTTCCACACTTGGTGTTTCTCGTCTGTTCATATGCTCTTTTCCTAAATATTCCACCAGCCAATTATTATTTCATGTGCTATCTGAATGTGTCTCTACTTGTCTCTGAGACACACAGGAAAAGGGAAGAACAAAGGGAGTAAGAAGGAGAAATAAAGAATGAAAGGCAAGAGAAAGGAGGGAGTAATGACAGAGCAGCAAGAGAAAGGAAGAGAAAATGTTTTGTTTGCAGGTGTTTTGTTCGAATGAATGCCTCCATGCATAGGCATGCCTGCTTATACCGTGTGAACACTCGTGTTGGTAGAAAGTGTGCCAGGGGCTAAACAGATAGAGAAGAGAAGCAGATAGAATAATTTCTTTCCCAATCACTCCCAGACCTGCATCTGTGTCACAGTTGCTGTCTTTCTCATGCAGGCGCTGCCAGTGGTGGAAAAGCAGGCAGCTGCTTGAACAGAAGACTTCCATGTGACGGAAAGACAGACAGGCAGAGAGTCTGACAGAGAGACAGATAGCACCATACTGACCTAATACTGAGGCAAAATGTGAAAAAAGACTGAAGCATGACTGAAAGGAAGTAATGCAAGTCACCCGATGGAGCCAGATTGTTCCAGTGTCACTGGGAGCTGTTAATTGGGAACAGAAGGAAGTTAAATTTTTCAACTTTGACAAATTTGCCTGACTTAGTTGTGAAAGTTTCTTCAAGTAGGTTCTTCTGATAGTTATACCACTAAAAAACTGTGGTTGTGACAGTTGCTTGATGACAGTGTGGTGGTGCTGGCCTCGTCTCTCGGCGCAAGGGCAAGGAAAATGCAGGAGATAATGGTGCCCTGTGGAGTTGCTAGTTGCTTGCACTGTGCGCGCAGGTGATGCGATTCCCATCCTGCAATAGGTTTCGTATTGATCAGCAGTTAAGTAGTGCACAACAGAAAATAGAAATGCTTCCACAAAGGCAGTGAAAAAATGACTTCAGCTAGAGAGTAAACGTACATATAGACAATGCAAAAATGTATGTATTTTTAAAAACTGACTTTGCAAATCTTTTAAGGGTTCGTCAGACCTCATGGATAGCTTTTTTTCCCTGAGAAAACTAAACAGGGCCTCTTTAAATGTGATGCTTAAGCAACATTTTAAATCAACTCTGGGGAATAAACCTTTGTTTCTTTATCCCACTGATTGGTGCTGTCACTGTGGCTGATATCAAGAGTTTTACTGCTGGCCCTCCAGCCCACAGTCATATAGACACACACCGACAGACAGGGATGGTTACGGCCACACAGATAATCCTTTCTAATTCTCTGCTTGCCCGTGCCAGGTTGCCCAAATTGTGATCGACTTCTTATATATATATATATATATGTATATGTGTATATACACACACACACATAGACGTGTATATATAATATATGTGTGTGTGTATGCGCGCCCATGCACAATGACCCTTCCCTCCCTCCTTCATCTCCACCTCTAGATTAACTGGAGCAAACTGACTGTTCAGGGGCTCACACACATGCACACACAGACATAAACACACATGAAAACACTGGAGGCGGTAGGCTGTTTTCTGGCCCTTCGTGACGCGCTATTGGACCCCTGACAGTCTGAGCTGCCATCTGTCACAATACAGGAGGGACCAAAACATACACATGCACTCCAACAACAAATGTTTGCTCTAGTGTGCGTACGGCACAACTTGCTGATGCCTCCATCTTTGTAAACATTGCAGAAGGATGTACATAAGATAGCTCCGTTTTCTCTTACCTGCTGAAGTGTCCTTGAGTAAGACGCCAAGTTTCCTATTACTGCTAATAAGCATGAACTCATCTGATACCAGCTTTATTCTAGTCTCCATCCTGTCAGGCAGGGCTCAGCACAGACTGAAAATATTTCTCTTTTTGCTGCAGGACCATACAACTCATTCTTTTAAAAATATATTTTTCATTTCCTTTTTGCTCATAAAATGTTTCATTGCTCCAGGTTCTGTGGGACTCTTTCAGAAAGGTACAACTGGCAAATCAAAAGAAAGATATTTGGGAGTTTTTGTCCAACAGTTGAAAGGGATTCAAGTCTCTCTCATCAGCACGCCACAGAGAATGCCATGTTAACGCCAGCGGTTGTCTCACACAGATCTCTTGTATAATCCTTATCTGTGGCTTTGTTATATGACTTAGTGCTGCTGATGTAACCCCCCCAGTAGCACTTTCTGTGAGTGTGTGTCTGTGTGTTCTTGGTAGCAGATGGCGGAGTGGTATTACAACAGACCGATGGACGGTGAACAGCATAGAGCGGCTTGGCTGTGTTGACTACAGCAAAGGATAGCATGGCTCCCCCCCCTCCCCACTCTCCATCTTCTTCCCATCTCCTTGGTGTCAGGTGGATGAATGGCTGGCCCTCTCTCAGTCAGCAGCCACGGTGCTCTTTCATCACCTGTCTCTCTGCTTGTTCTTTCATTCCTCTGCAAGAATGCCAGGCTAGTCTGTCACTCCTTCCCTCCTTCAGTCCGTCCATTGCCCTGTCTGTCAGATGAGTATCTGTGGTATCTCTCTTCAGCCTTTTTTTGTCAGTCCATCTCTCCATCCTTCTACCCCTACTTCCCTACTTACCTTTTGTAAGAGTTACAGCCATGTCTCAGCTTGGGACGTCAGTTCAATTCTCCAGCCGTTTGGCCAGTATCAGCTGGGTTCTTCCAGAATGCAACCTGGAAGTTCCAGTTTCACTTCAGCTCTTTATGTCACAGACGAATCAGCTAATCCAGGTTGGAGACTAACTGCCATTAACTATGAGCAGAGGCAAGTCATTGTTGCTTTTATTCTCTGTATGGGGACTGTACTATTAATAGAAATGAATTTAATGAAATTAATAGAAAATGACCGGCCTTATCCCTTAAAGTGTGAATCTGCATATGCAGTAGTGTGCATTTGTTTGTGCTTTTGTTTTAGTTGTGTATTTTTGTATGTGAGTGTAATGTGCCAGATCGCTGTCTATCCCTCCCACCCCTCCTCACTGCCATCCTTTCCTCCCCCACTGAGTGTGTGTCGTGTGAATCAAGGTCATTAGGGATCTGTTGGCAGAGACCCCCTATCTATCCCACGCACCCCCCTCCACCCCTCCCTCCCACCATCGCACACACACACACACATGCCCAGAGGGTTTGTGTGCATTGTGCCCATCCAGCCATCTAGATGTCCCTGCTATGCCTGCCTCAGCTCAGTTTAGCTCAGCTCAGCTCGACATCGTGGATTAATTACTGGGGAACCCACTGCGTCTCTGACCTCCACCACTGGACTAATTGAAATCTAATTGAATTGTGCTTGTCTAGACTAATGAAGCCTCGCCACTGAAACCGCCAGTCTTTTAGCGATAGCTGCAGGACAATAGCTACCCAGCTATTCTATAGCGGCTGTGCTGTGTCACTCAGTTTGGATGGATGATTAGATAGTGGATATGGGGGATGTGAACAAATGGGCAATTGAATGGATTAAGAATAAAATACTCTATTTTTTTTACTTTAGGTGCAGGATTAAAAATCTATTGTGACATCAGAAAAGTTGAGTACATCCATTCTAACTAAAACCTTTCCCCCATTATTTGAGAAATTTTTATCCTTGTGCGTATCAAGAGCTTTTCCTTGTCTCTGCGCTACAAACTTGGCGTCAGAGCGCTGCTCAAGGGAAGCAGGATCTAGGCAGGATAGTGTGAAGCTCAGCTTTCATGGTGAGGCTGCTCACTGACCAATGATGAGAGGTAGCTGAAAGGAAAAGCCAGAGACACCTGGCAGTCTGCATCCTTCCCAGGCTAACAGTGGGGACGCACAATGCAGAGAAACTTGGCCAGTGTGAGTATATAGAGAAAAAGCTATCTTCTTGCATACAAACTCCTCTGAGAATCTCCAAGAATCACAGCCACTTCTGCATGCTCCGGCCTCATTCCCAAATATAAACATCATCCGCAGTGACCTTGTTTCTCAAACTTGATGAAGATTAGTGAGAAGGAGGAGGAGGATGGCTGTTGAAAGTGCTTTAGTCAGACATGGAGGGCTGGTGGTGGTGGTGGTGGGACCCCTGGGAGGTGCTTGTTTTGTTGGGCCTTTTTTAGCTTTTAGCAGGTGAGAGACAGTGCTGTGATTCCCTATAAGTTATTCATTTGACGTTTCATCCCTTCTCAGCTCTTTGTAGGCTGGAATACATTAGCAAGCTGGCAGAGTGGAGGAGATGCTAATGTGGAAGAGAAGGAGAGGCAGAGGAGAGAAAGAAAGGATGAAGGCAGTGGAGGGAAGAAGGCAGAGTCATTAGAGGAGGAGGAGAACAGAGAGAGGACACAGCTTTATGATGTGTGGGAAGAGGAAGTGACCTTCCCTCTCACTTTCATCTTGGCTTTTTTCTCACCTTGTCTTGCTCTCTGATGCACACACTTAAATGTATAGTGCACGTGGGTGCACATGCATCTACACACATATGACAGAGAAACAATGCGTATAATCCAATCTTCTTTTGAACAAACACATATAAACACATGTAAGTCATTTTTCATGCTTTCTTTCTCTCCCCCTCCTCTCTTACTTTTCCCATGCAGGTCCCCTTGCAGCCCGGCCAGTCTTTCAAGTTCACAGTCCTGGAAACTCTGGATCGTATCAAGGAGGAATTCCAGTTCCTCCAGGCTCAGTATCACAGGTATTATTATTATTATTATTATTAACAATACTACATTGCCCATGCGACATAGACACACACATGCATATATATGTACATATAATTGATTTTTTCCCCCCAATAATGAAGAATGTGCTATAGCTCTTATGAAGAAACATACTCTTCCACATTATTTACACCATATATTCTTTGTACATACACTTAATGTATTAGGTACACTGATCAGCCATAACATTATGACCACTGGCAGGTGAAGTGAATAACACTGACTATCTGTTGCAGTGTCACCTGTCAGTGTGTGTTGGGGGGTATATTAGGCAGCAAGTGAACATTCAGTCCTCAAAGTTGATGTTGGAAGCAGGAAAAACTGACATGTGTAAGGATGTGAGTGACTTTGACAAGGGCCAAACTGTGATGGTGAGATGACTGGGTCAGATCATCTCCCACACTGCAGGTCTTGGTGGGTGTTGTTGGTCTGCAGTGGTTAGTACCTACCAACAGTGTCTAAGGAAGGACAAATGGTGAACTGGAGACAGGGTCATGGACGCCCACAGCTCACTGATGATGAGATCAACCTACTGTAGATAAAATTTTTAACTACCATTTGTACTTTTCAAAAGATTAACATTTATTTGACTCTTTGTTAAAATGGTTGAAAATGAGAAATACTGTCCCTTGGTCTTTATGAAGAGAGAGAGTCAGGGGCTGTAGTGGTGATATCACACCTAGAGCGGTGAGGATGTTGAATTTGTCTAAAAGATTCTCTAACTCGTCCTCACAACCACAGTTTTCACTCCTTTTACATAAGTTTGTCACTGAATTGTAGACACATCTGTGTTCTTCCTGACAGTAGAACTGTGGAAGCAAATGGATTCACAGATTACGTACAGTGAGCTGCAGAGTGACACGGGTGCCAACCGACTGCCACATTGACTCACTCCTGTGTAAACAGTATTAGGCAGGTGGTCATAATGTTATGCCTGATCAGTGTATAGTACCAACACATAACCATTCCATTTAGTAGAATAGGGCTTCAGAAATCTTGAATATATGAGCCAATAAATATAATATAATATAACTGCATACAAGAGGTGTCCTTTAATCTTTATTACTACACTGAATGTACAGAATATCACAACTGCCATGCATAATTCTGTCTCCACTGTCTCAGGGCTTTGCACACTTCTCTAACTCTTCATCTTGGCCTAAATCTAGAATGTACATTAACCTCTTTGTAATAGACATACATTTACAGTAAATACGGAAATCATTAAGGAATCATAGCTTTTACCTACATTAATTTTTATCTGTGTACCTCAAATATCTTGTACTAATTGATGTATATTTTTCTGGGCCTTTTTGTTTTCTACAGCTGGAGGTCACTGATGGTCATGTTATCATATGGCTGACCAGAAGTGACCTTGGCTAAGAGATAAACCATCAAAGGTTATAATATCCAGCCTCTTGCTCAAGAGCCTGTTGTGATACAGCAACACATCTGTATTCTAGTCATTGGACTGATGGATCTTAGTGAGTCACACGCACACAGCAAACAGCAATGAATATCTTTTCATTGATGTGCATCATGAGTGATTATGTCATTAGTGTTGAGTACAGCCATGCTGTTGTAGCCATCTACCAGCATGGTACTATAACTTTTCATAATATTAAGCCACCTGACTTGGCGTTTACCTTTTCTGAATACTGCCTGTTAAAGTGGCTGCTAAGCTCAGAAACTCTTCCCCACAGTCCAGAACAGATGCATGTTAATAATGCACCCACAGTGAAGAGCTTGTACTGTGTAAGGACACATTGGACTTTGTAGCAGAACTGTAAATGTTCTGATGCATGTGAGACATATATAACCAGCCACCCTTCACGCATGTAGAATAGTTGTGATGGATTGCAGTGGTGAATAAGACACACCCTGCTGACTGGTGCTGCCATGAAGGTGATGTTTTTTGTGTCACTTTTCAGCAGTTTTTTTCTTTATAACAAGAAATTAGTTTTTGGTGTCCTTATATGGCTTTAAACTGTGTTTGACCTCTGCAAATTCCTGTGGAAATTAGAATTCATTTCACTGGATGCAAATGTTTAATCTGTGTGTATGTGTCCTCTTTTGTCCTTGTGTAGCCTGAAGCTGGAGTGTGAGAAGCTGGCCAGTGAGAAGACTGAGATGCAGCGGCACTACATCATGGTGAGTCCAATCAAACCTTTACCAGAGCTGTACAGTGATTTGTTACTCTGTCTGGGCCACCCAGAAACTCTGAAAAGAGTCTGATGGGTTTTTATGTAGGAATTACAATCAAGGGGGTTGTATCTGTGGTTTTGATTAGCTGAATTGTCGCTGTTCAGTGTTTGCCATTCAGGAATAAAAGCTCAGTTTGTCTCTCTACCTGTGTTACTCTAATTCTTTCTCCCCAGATTTCTTACTCTTTCCTTCACTTCTCTGTTCTGTGGTTTATTTTCTCTTTTAATTTACATTAATGAGCTGTTAATATAATAATAAAAGCAAGCTAAAGCTAAACATTTAAAATTTTTCATGCTTGTATAAAGTTGACACATTTCATCCATATTTATATTGAAACCTCCAGTAACTTCACAACACACAGGTTTGTAATCACCGTAATATCTGTTTATTATTTACTTTAATAAACATGATTTGCAGTGGTGCATAACCATGAATCTCTGTAATAGTGGAACACAGTTTCAAATTTCCAGTGTGATTGTGGAAAGCAGGTGCACATTATACGTTTTTTCTCTTGTGCGCTGTTTATCTTGATTTTTTCACACAATACGTCTCTCAGATTTATATTTTTCCATTTTGTATATCGCTCCCCATAGTTTTCCCCCCTCAGACCCTCTATCTTCTTCAGCTGGTGTCTCTGCCTTCTCTTCCTCCTTCTCTCGTGCGCTAACAACCTGAGATCCCTCTGTGCCGGTTTGTCTGTGCGACTAAAGGCTCACATGTATCGTAAGCCTTCGTCTGTGGTACAAAACCTACACAGAGCTGAGCAGAATACGATATGCACCATCTGCTAAGCTGCTCGCATTTCATAAACCTGGGAGAGCAGGCAGGATCAGGGCCGTAAGCTAGATAGACACACAGATGGAGAGATGGGGAGAGGGAGAGAGAAAGAATCAGACAGGCATATAGACTGACTAATAGACTGAGCGTGAGAGAAACGCACGCAGGCAGGCAGGCAGTGATACTGGCAGACAGACAAATGGATATAGAAACACAGAGACAGACAGGAGATAAACAGATAAAAACACACACAGACACTCAGGAGATACTGCATATACACATTTATTCATCTACACTTACACACACTTTGTTCATCTGTCCTTTTGAGGACCTTGCTTTAAAGATCTTTCTTCATCAAGCCTCAGCTAATTCTAATTTATGCACTAACTGATAACTGAATAAGTGCCAAATAAACTCAAAACCAAAGTCACAATATCCCATAAACACTTCTCCGAATAGGGTACACACTGTCAGATAATACTAAAGAAGTGACCTTTACAAAAGGTCTTTCTGAGAGATAACACTGTCTAACACTGTAGTAGTTACTCTTATGACTTAAACTTGTTAAAGTGAGACTGCAGTAAGTTTAAAAGAAGAAAGAAAACTTTCTTTCTCCAGGGGTTTTCTGATGCAACCTTATTTGGTCTGGTTTTCCAGTAGCTAATGTTAGCTTACAAACCTTTTAGTATATCTTTAGTATATCACTAGCGTGGTGTAGAACAAAATTATCTATGTAGAGATACTGTACTGCTTGCAAACCAATGATGGTAAGATGACGTTATGGGGTAGGACTAGATAAGTCTAACTTCTTCCTACTCCGTTCAAGCATGTACTAGGTATAAGCAAATTGATAATGCATTTGTGGATATGTGTGAAATTATGTGTGTTGACATATTGACTGTTGTTACATGTTTGAAAGAATAAATCAAATCAAAATCAAATCAAACCTTAGGTAGATATTGGTGTGATAGTTCTGAGTCAGTATGTTGACTTTGACTCTTACCTGCTTGTGCTACTTTTATACTACACATTAGTGTGTCACAAATAAATATTTCAGTGGTTTTATCACCAAAAGTAAAGCAAGAAGTAAAAGCAGTGTAGCTCATCAGAAGACGTGTTTGTCTGGTTGCCTAATAATGATGTCTTTTAAAGCAACTGACTCAAGACAGTCTTGAGAAATGAAAGAAAATTGAATATGCAGTTTTCTTTCACTTTTGACTAGTGGCCACTTAGCAAAGGTTACACAGTCTCACTTTATTAATTAACTTTAATCATTATTCTGTATAAGGATTTTGTCAGTCGATTGTCAGTTGGCTCTTCAGTGCGACTGTTCGACTGTTTGTTCTTTTTCCTTTGTGTGTGTGTGTGTACGTAGATAAACAGATATACACAGGAACATAATTCTGAGCATTTAAAAATCAATAAAAGACAGCTGCATATGATGCAGTAGTTAAATTGCAACCTATTTAAATAGCTGATATATAATGTCAGGCTGCCATATGGATTTGTTGGAATAATGAGATGGGCAGCTCACTTGTATTTCTGTTGAAACAATGCTTTTATAGGCAATTTTTTCTTCTCAGACATGGTTATAGCCTAGTTTACCAACAAATTTAAAGGTTTGCTCGTCAGTTAACCACAGTGCATGTTGTTACTGTGCGTTTGATGCATACCAGCTTGCACTGCGAACTATTCCTGTTATTTATAATTCCTCATTGAAATATTTTCCCCACTCATTTTTGGTAGCTTCCTGGTCCCGGTTGGATGGATGCATGTCACAGAAACAGTCTATAAATGGCTGTGCATTGCACCTTAATGGAGATGGGTAAACAAACCGGTCTCTCACAACATTAAGCTATACAAAACCAGTCACATGGTCACGACCATTAAATACTTCTGTTGTACAAGTAGACCACGATGTTTGAAAACACACAAAGTACAAATCTCACCTTTATGTGGCTTGTCCTAGTGGGTTTTGTTGTCCTTTTCTCCTTGTTCTGCAATTTCCTAAATAGATCTGACCTTAATGTACATCTATGTTTCGGACAGTGGCACCGCTGAAGTAGGTATTCCCCCTGACCACAGGGGGAAGTACTGAGAAAATTGCTGCTAGGCACACCAAAATGAGGCGAAGAAGATGACAAACTACCATGATGGGGCTGCCTTCTATTGTAGTGCAACCTGGCTGACAAAAACTAAAATAAAAGCAAAGGTTGGACTGGAGGAGTCTTTAGTTGACAGACAGGTCTTTCAACTAGTCCTCACGACTAGGGGGGCAGCCTTAATTCTGTATAGTTACACTTGAGTTATAATAAAATGTCATTATGTCTTCATGATTTGTGACATCCTCAACCCCACATGGGGTGCTTTTTATTACTATACTTTCTTGTGGCACTTGTGTTAACATTATACAACTTTAAATAAGTAACATACTGCACAATAGCAGATCCATTAAACTGCACAGCCAAAGCCTTCTAGAGGTTTTGTTGAGGATACTACATTGAACCTAAGCCCTCAGCTGGTTCTTTTTAAAGAAATGGAAGGACTTGTCAAACTGACCTCATTTCATAAAAATATCCTGAAACTCAAGAGTGGGAAAAAATACCTAGATGCATGTGCTCATAAATATGGCACAATGCACAAAGAAAGAGCTCTGCAAAGCACAGACTTCTCAGAAACACCCACTTCCCTAATCTCAGGCATTCTCCATTTTAGCTGTGGTTTCACAGAATTACTCTGTGGAGCATAGACATCTACCTTCTCCAGTGTAGTTCCTCAATAATACAGCAATAGTAGTTGTAGTGTGCCAGCACAGATACAGTTCTCTCTTTCCATAGACGGGGGCAATCGATGGCGTTTGATCAAACTTTGTGCATATTAAATGCCATGGCCTTTGTAACCAGTGGGCCCCTGGTAAACTAAAGAGCAGGAGAAATGGTGCAGGACTATCCTCCTCTATATGTTCAAGCTCAGCTTTAACAGTTCCCTGTGGCATGAGGTCTAGGAGCTGCAGCTGTAGATGACATTCCCACATACAGTAGGTTAGCATGGCAGACGGTTAGCACTCCAGGCTATATTACTTGAAATGAGGCTCACTGTCGTGTGGAGGATGGCTAACACAGTGCTATGCTACTTCATAGGCATGGCTCAGAAATGAGAGGAAAGGAGAGGAGAGAAAATGCGAGGGAGGGCAATGAAAGAGAGGCTCAAAGGGAAAGATAGCTTGAGAGAAAAAAGGCTCAGTGAGTGTCAGACAGAAAAAAACAGGAGCTACTGAGGGAGGGATACAAAGGCAGGCAGAGATAAAGAGAATAAAAGAGGAGAAGGAGAGTGTGATAGAGGCAGGAGAGAAATACAGCGGGAAAGAGAGAAAAATGCTGTAAATGGATGAGATAGAAAAAAGAAATATCAGGAGATAGAATTGCAGTTTAGGAGGAGAGAGAGGGTGAAAAAAAGATGCTGTGAAGAGATGAAATGCAGAGAGAGACAAAAAAAGAGTATGCAGCACAGACTGCAAGAGAAAGAGATAGTGATGTGTTTGTGTGGGGGGCGTGAAATTAAAGAGAGGGAGAGAGAGGGTGCACGCACAGACACGTAAATAATGTGAAGCAACAACGGACTCGCTGCGCCCACAGAGGAGATAACCCAGAAGGCTATATTTAGCTCGTTAGGCCTGTCATCCATACTGAGGCCTGTTTCCACAAGCTGGGGCTCTGCTCACCATGCTGCACTGCTCCTGCCTTTACTATTCATCACTTTTAAAGCTCTTTAAATACTAGGGTGAGGTGTTGAGAAGTAGGGAGACAGTTATACAGGGTTATATACTGTATACATGGAATTCTTTGTGAACTTAAGCACAAAAAGATAACAATTAGGCAAACGCAATTCTTTTCTCTAGCAGAGAGTAAAGGATCATATGGTCGTGGTCTACAGAGGTACAGTAGGAGGACTGGATGTCTGAGGGGTTAACAAAATGTTGGGTTTTGACCTGGGAAGTCGCTGTTTGTTTTCCCTTGGCTACTGACAGTCAACAGTTTTCTCTTTAACCATGACCATGATTAATTCCTAATCTAAACCAGTTATCTAAACCTAAATAACAGTCTTTCATCAGTCTTTCCACATTTTTACCTAATCCTAACCAAACTTTAACTATAGCATTGTTTGATCAG